ATTATGGATTTCTTTCTCTGTCACTGGTTGTGAGTCAACTAACAAGAAGTAATATATTATGGATTTCTTTCTCTGTCACTGGTTGTGAGTCAACTAACAAGAAGTAATATATTATGGATTTCTTTCTCTGTCACTAGTTGTGAGTCAACTAACAAGAAGTAATATTTTATGGATTTGTTTCTCTGTCACTAGTCGTGAGTCAACTAACAAGTAATATTTTATGGAATTCTTTCTCTGTCACTAGTTGTGAGTCAACTAACAAGAAGTTATATTTTATGGATTTCTTTCCCTGTCACTAGTTGTGAGTCAACTAATAAGAAGTTATATTTTATGGTATTACTGGCGCAGTAAAATATAGCTAATATTACTCATCAGGATCTCTACCAGCCTACCCTCAAATTGAAATTATTTTAGACAGGATTAGAGTAAATTAATCTGTGAGACCTGGGGCGTGATCAAATACATCAATCGAAAGGGTTTGACCTCCTGGGTCCAAAACTGTAAATAGACCTGAAATTGGTGAAGAGATGATGGAGCTGTGAACTAAATGTTTGTACTTGAAAAAAACAACAATATACAAACCCAGAGCCATTCTATCAGCCGCTTTGCCGCGGCTAAACTAAGTACTACGACTACCTAATTTATCATATAAATTATCACAGGTTCACTGTTGTGGTTGAAAGTTAAAACAATATACATTTAGTATTTTAAATTGTTGTAAGGAGTTTCCAAGGTGAATATTATCATGTATTGTTGTAAAGAAGGATTTCAAACGTAATTATAATGCATTATTTCAACTCATTTTATAGAATAAATGTTTAATGTTGTCAGAAGTTCTTCTATTGTAATATAGCGGCACCTATCGGATGACAAATCCGAGTGCTTCTAAAATGTCAGTTATTTTGTACTTTTTCCAATATTCAGGTCACTTACGCCTTTTGTAAGGAATTCATACATTTAATTCTGCAAAACACGAGGTGCTCGGAGACGGAAACTACAGAAGTGCTTGTGAAACTTTTTCAAAAGGTACATTATCTTCGGTCCTTGGTTTATTTAACTTTAACTCCTAGACTCTTTACTTATATCACATAGTGTTATGGTGTAACATCTGTTGTTGTGGTATATCCCCCATTGTTATGATATAATGTTATAGTATGTCACTCACTATTGTGGTATATCACCCAATATATCACCCATTGTTATGATATAGTGTTATAGTATACACATAGTGTGGTATATCACTCAATATACTACCCATTGTTATGATATAATGTTATAGCATATCACTCACTGTTGTAGTATATCACCCATTATTATGATATAGTGTTATAGTATACACATATTGTGGTATATCACCCAATATATCACCCAATATATCACCCATTGTTATGATATAGTGTTATAGTATACACATAGTGTGGTATATCACTCAATATACCACCCATTATTATGATATAATGTTATAGCATATCACTTACTGTTGTGGTATATCACCCAATATTATGATATAGTGTTATAGTATACACATATTGTGGTATATCACCAATTATATCACCCATTGTTATGATATAATGTTATAGTATATCACTCACTATTGTGGTATATCACCCAATATATCACTCATTGTTATGATATAGTGTTATAGTATACACATAGTGTGGTATATCACCCATTGGTATGATATAATGTTATAGCATATCAGTCACTGTTGTAGTATATCACCCAATATATCACCCATTGTTATGATATAATGTTATAGCATATCACTCACTGTTGTAGTATATCACTCATTATTATGATATAATGTTATAGTATATCACTCACTATTGTGGTATATCACCCATTGTTATGATATAGTGTTATAGTATACACATAGTGTGGTATATCACTCAATATACCACCCATTGTTATGATATAATGTTATAGCATATCACTCACTGTTGTGATATATCACTAACAGCTAATTTACCATTTTTATTACTTGACTTTATCATTTCCAGAAACAATCTACATTATTTTGTTACTTAGTTTATTGTACAGTAACTTTTGCCTCACCCTGTATTTCTATAATTTTATTTAAGATTTATTATTTGATGCCTTGTTGATAGAGTTCCAAAGCCACAGCACTACGTCAAGCCTACCACAGATACACCATTAACTATATCAACGCTTTGAATTATTTGGAGACATTGAGGCGGCAAGTGGAGTTTAATGAGTTTGAAAAAGTAAGTCTACAATGTTAAGACAATGTTATTCCGTGAACAGCTTTAAACTAGTAATTCAAGCAGTCTTCCAACTTTGACGAAAAGAGTTAGTTACAAGAAATATATATATAAATGATGCTAGAAAATCACTGGATCAAGAATATTTTTTACCAACTCGTCAAAATCCTGCTTTAAAGGCGAAAGTTTGTTTGTTTTGTTGCTGTGTCCACTATGGAGTATCAAAAGCGGTTTTTTTGAGCGTTATAAGCCTTCAGACTGTCCGCTAAATTCGCTTTAGTTTCTAGTCATGACTTCCCCTGGCGAATAAAGATGTAGGCCTAATGTTGTGTTTTTTATTATTCAAATATTCATTACAACTTAAATAGTTTAAATATAATTTCTATAAAAAATATCTTTCATCGCTTTCAGAAACAACAGTTCTGGAAAATTTTATTAACTACGAAAAAAATAATAATTTATGGCTAGTACCGGAAGTGTCAACCTAACGTTCAGAATAGACAATGAATCGTAAATGTCAGTACCATTAAGAGCCTCAGTAATGTCATCTCTAGGTCAAGATTTGTCTTCAGGTTTCTAAAACGGCTTCGAAATATACACCTATCTGCATTGTTTGTTTGTTAAACTTCGGACTACTCAACTACTCGAGGGTTATCTGCCCCAACCGTCCCTAATTTAGAAGTGATAGACGAGAGGGAAAGCAAATATTCAACACCACCCACTGCCATATTTCGGACTACTCATTATCAACGAATAGTGGGATTGATCAACACATTATAATGTCTCTATAGGTGAAAGGACTAGCATATTCGGTGACGAGTTTCGAATCCGCGATCTGCAGGTTACGACCTAACCACCAGGTCATTCACGAGGCCTAACCATCTCTATGAAAGTGACCGTCATATCCAGTCAGACACGAGTAGCTCAAGGGTTTACATTGTGTACTGTTGATCAACTATCTTCCATTTAGCCTATCGTTAAGCAGCACAGATAAACCTAGTGTATATTTGGAAGAATATTCTCAAACAAACAATTCTATATATTTCATTAACCTACTTTTAATCAGTTGTTCTTAACATCGTATATAACATCGTATATACTAAAGACATGATATTTTCTCAATTAACCGAAAACAATAGATGGAACGTTAACCTACAGAGGTCGCTATCAGCACAATATCTACTCTGTATTCCTCGCTAATTATGAATCAGATCTCATTTTAAGCGGATTTCATGCTTATACGATCACTCTTACGTATACTAATCACCAAAAGTATGGATCTGGTGAGGTATGGATATGGGTGAGGTATGGATCTGGAGCGATTAAAGCCCCAAACTTATCCCTCGATTTGACAGCGGTAATTTAACGGTCTTACACTCAAATTCTGGGTTCGATTCTCTGCGGTGAACAGAGCAAAGATAACCCCGTTTGGCTTTGCGCTTAAACAAACAAATCTGAAATATATTCGTCAGTACAATCTCACCTAAGCCTAATTCATGGCATTGAACTGCAAGAAGTAAAGTTAAAAGGGACAAACTTTGTCTTGAACACTAGTGTATAAAATAATGATTTGTGATTATAAAAACACTAAAATCGGACTGAAATCAAGAATGTATAATATAAATTGAAAACCTTGTTCTGACGTATGTGTTCATATGGCATATCAAAATATCTCTGAAAAATTAACACAGATATATTTTTTTAGAACTTTCATTTGTTGACAAATTGTATTTTGTTTCAAAACATCCAAAAACCTGGATATACATTTGTTAAAATGTTTCTCTTTTAAAACAGTAGATGGCAGCACAAAACGAAAATCTTCACTTAAACTTAATAAGCATATCTGCTTTGTTCAACGAAGTGCCAAACGAATAAAGAAACTCTGATTCTTAAATGTAACTAACGTAACGTTAGTAGAATTTTCAAATCACAGATGGTTTGAAATAACAGTTCCAAAAGATTATTGCCAAGGCCAATTAGATTTATAAAAACTAACCCTAACCTAAATACCAATATTTACTAACTAATATACAGCAGCAATCATTAATTTTCAGTTTGATGTAAAAAATCTTGCAAATGGTTAAAGTTTCAAACACGACGACACATTTACTATTCTCCCTGTAGTAAGTTTGTTTTGTAAATATGGAAAACGAAACGTGATCATATATTGTATAAACCTAACAAATTGCTGACGAACTCTGTTCTGACAGTGGTGTTCACGTGACCTACGTTGCAAGAAACTTCAACTCACCGATCTCTTAGTTTCTCCTGTTCAACATATTATGAGAGTACCCTTACTGTTGAAGGAAATAGAGATGCGGACTGATGATGAACAGGAGAAAGATGTAATTATCAATATCGTTGAACTGGAAGAAAACTCTTTGCGTAAGTTGATGGTTTGGTTAAACGATTTTTGTGTTTTATTTAAAACTATTTATGTTCTATATAAAGTGTGTTCTACTAAAAAGTGTGTTCTTTCTGTGATACATAATTTTTGTTAAAATACTTTTGTTACTGCTTCTATATTAATCAAATTATATTAAACATAATAATCCAGGCACTAACCTCAACTTTACTGTACTGACGTAAGGAACACTATGTTTTAACCTCAACTGTACTGTATTACCGTAGGGAACACTATGTTTTAACCTCAACTGTACTGTATTAAAACATAGTGTTCCCTAGGGTAATACAGTACAGTTGAGGTTAAAACATAGTGTTCCCTACGTCAATACAGTACAGTTGAGGTTAAAACATAGTGTTCCCTACGGTAATACAGTTGAGGTTAAAACATAGTGTTCCTTACGTCAATACAGTACAGTTGAGGTGTAACATAGTGTTCCTTACGTCAGTACAGTAAAGTTGAGGAAAACTCAACTGTACTGTATTACCGTAGGGAACACTATGTTTTAACCTCAACTGTACTGTATTGACGTAGGGAACACTATGTTTTAACCTCAACTGTACTGTATTACCGTAGGGAACACTATGTTTTAACCTCAACTGTACTGTATTACCGTAGGGAACACTATGTTTTAACCTCAACTGTACTGTATTGACGTAGGGAACACTATGTTTTAACCTCAACTGTACTGTATTGACGTAGGGAACACTATGTTTTAACCTCAACTGTACCGTATTACCGTAGGGAACACTATGTTTTAACCTCAACTGTACTGTATTGCCGTAGGGAACACTATGTTTTAACTTCAACTGTACTTTACCTACGTAGGAAATCTTTTATTTTACTGACTTCTGACCTCAGCTTTTATTATACTGTTGTAGGGAATTATCCTGGTTTTAGTCTTAACTTTACGACTGTTAACTCACAACTCAATAGGATTGTTATTATATATTTCCTTCTAAAACAGGAGAATTGGACGATAAGATGAAATGGTTGAAAAACTTCGAGAGACTTCTAGAAATTCAACGAAACATTATCTGGCCTTCCATTACCGAGCTTGACCCGAAAGTGTTCATTCCAGAGGTCAGTATAGCTCAATAACTAGACATAAAATCATGGAAACTGTAAGACATGATAGGTTATAATTAACATTTTACAAACTCACCTCTTCAGGTATGTGTCAGTTCTAAAAACGTATAATAAAAGCAAAGGAGAATATGTCGAATACACTACATTTTCCAGATCCAGTGCCGACGACGCCTTTCCCTCATTACCAGGGCTCATCAGACCGATAACCTAAGGAAGAATGATCATAGAAGTTTTTTGTAGTTCACCTGTTACTCACAATTAAGACTAATTATTATTAACTGTAATTTTTATTGGAGATTTTGAGTTATTGTTAAGCACAAAGCTACTCAACTGGCTATCTGTGATGTGCCCACAACGAGTATCGAAACCCTTCTGTTCTGCAAGCCTTCAAATTTGCCGCTGAGCCACTCGGGAGGTGTGTGTGTGCGTGTGTGTTGGGGGTTAACAGTTCTTCTTGTTGAGGGTATTAGATAAATAAAACAGATTGTTCTATTTTCTTATGCGTTCTAAATAATTACCAAAGTTTTTATTAAGACCACTAGGAGGCCCTAGCTTCAAAATTTCATGATATAAGTTTTATTTTTCTCACCTGAGGTCACTTTGTGATCGGAACTGAGCTGAAGTTTTATGCTGTGTTACAAAGTTCAAATGTTGCCTATTAATGTTCATTAATAACTTAAAACATCAAACACAATTATTAATGTGAACTTTAACGTTTTTTGTACTTTTAATATTCCCGATATGAACTAATAAATCACTGCTAATTCACTAAGCCTACGTAGAATAATAGAGGAGATGAGTGAAGATAAACTTGTTAATTTTGTTTCCACACTTTGCTCGGATAAGTTCGAAACACGTGTTATTGAAATAAGGGCAAAGAGAAATCAGATATAGA